CCCCCCCCCCCCGTGGCGCTCACCCCGGTTGCTGAAGAGCTCGGTGAGCAGCGTGCTGGCGGCGGTGATGACCGCAGAGCAGTAGTGGGGCAGGCGGCTGAGCACATCCACGATGAGCCGTATCTGCTGCCGCTCCTTGGTGCTCAACCACTCCGCGGTAGTCACCAGGTCTAAGTCGGCAGGCAGGTTCACGCTGCTCAGGACCTGTGTCGGGGCAAGATGAGCCTCCGGCCCACGACCCGGCTACGAAGCTTCCCCACCCCCAGACAGCACTGCTGCCCCCAAAGACCTTTCCTCCTTTGCCCTACTTTCTCCTAGAGTTGTAGGCCAGGAAGTGGTTGGATCCGAGCATCAGGGGCCAAACCCCTCTCTGATACTCCCACCTGGTTTGAAGCCCACTGAGGGGGCGCGTGGGAGCCTCAGCCCCGCCTAGGATCACTGGGTGGGGTGGGCACCGGAGGGGGGGGGCGCACCTTCTGGCTGGTGTTGCGCAGGCCGCCTGAGTTATTGAGGAAGATGATTTTGGTGGGCTGCAGCGCCTTGGCCAGCGACGCGGTCACCTCCAGCGAATCGAGGAGCACAGATCGGCGCGCGGACGTCTCCCCAATGGGGCACAGGATAGGGATGCTGTTGGACTCCAGGCACCACTGCAGCAGGTCCGTCTCCACCGAGACGATGCCGCCATAGCTGTGGGCCAGACGCGGTGCTAGAGAAATCCCCTCCGGGCAGGACGAGCAAATTAACCGGGACGGGCGGGGGCCGGCACTAACCTGGCATGGGGGGCGGGCTCCGCCGCGCTCAGCACCGAACCGCCGCCAAAAAATGGCACGGCAGTGGCTGCGTTATGCCGCAACTCGTCCACCAACACCTTGCAGCTCTGGGCAAGCTGTGTTTTGGCCTCCCAGAAGGAAAGGCATCCTGAGGGTGCCGTGGGGGCCGGCAGCCCCAGGACCACCAGTGGCTTCATGTCCATGCGCTGCAGGAAGGCCAGGGCGAAGGCGAGGCTGGATACCGCTTGCGGGCACCTGAGCACCTCCTCGTCCACCTGTGGAATGGAGGAGTGCGCGTTCGAGGGGGGGGTGTGGGGGCGGGGGGGAAGCAGCACTGGCACTGAGCCATAAGCTCCCACAGTCTGGTTCTTGGGACCCTCAGAGTGAGGGCCCCATGCTCTCCTGGCAGACCCCACTCCTGGCTACCTGCACCGGTCTGCTTCGCCCTTTGCCCGTCGGGTCTTGCCACCCCCTTATCTCATACCAGCGATCCTGCCTCCTCCCGGAGACCTTGGACTCTAGGACACCCTGGGGGTGGGGTGGGGAGGGGATGGGCGGCTCTGCCATCTGAAACGCTGCCTGCGCCCAGGGTGAGGGGCTTTTCCACACATCACCCCCGGAGGCTGGCTCCCGGCATCCAGCGTTGGGCGCCAAGTGTCAGGAACAGCGCACGGCCTCCCAGGCCAGGCCAGTGCCCTCGTGCTCCCGTTCCCGGCTCCGCAGCCTGTCCGGCAGTGCCCATCCCCGTCCTGTGGCCGTGGCTGCTCACCTCGATGACCGCGAAGGGCTTGTCCGCGGAGTACTGGCAGGTCTGGAACTGCGTGAGCCAGTGCCGTGCCTCCCCTGGGCTGGCCCCACACTGGTTCAGGAAGGCCTGGATGTCCCGCTGCACCAGCGAGCGGCCCGCTGGGGGCGCCGGGCTTTCGGGGGGCGGAGGAGGCGGCGTCCAGGATGGCTGTTCGGTGGCCGGCGACTGGCCGCTGTTTTCCGTGCCCTCCGCCTCCTCCCGCGGGGGCTGGGCCCTCGCCCAAGCGGTGCTGAGCCGGCGTCCCGGGCTGCCGCTCGCAGCCGCCCGCCGCCCCGTGCTACCACTCAGCCTCCGGATGCCCCGGAGCCTCACACCCGCAGCTCCGGTCCGCAGGGTCGCGGCTACCCACGTCGTCGCCATGACGACAGCCAACCCTCCTCTCCCCCCCTCTCCCACGGGTGGAAGTCTGTCTAGAACACTCAGCACTGAGGGGCTCTTGGCAGGTCTCTGGGTGGGGCTGGATCAGGCGGAGGCGGGTCAGGACCTGGGCTCGGGAATTGCTTCTGGGTGCATTTGGAGAGGGTCAGTCCATGGGTCAGGGGGCGGGGCCTCCAGGAACCCCGCCTCTGGAGGGGGGAGGTTGGCCAGACGAGATTTACAGCAAGGCCAAGATAAAGAGGGGAGCGAGCTCTTTAATCTGCTGCCAAGGCGCCTTCCAGGGCCCAGGGCCTAGGAGAGGTCTGGAAGTCAGCGGAGTTTTGAGAAGGGAGAGAGAGCAGATGTTGGGAGAGAGACAGAACGATTAGGCTGGGTGGAAGATGTGAGCCCCTGGCAAAATTAAAGGGCCACCCCTGGAACTCCTTTTTTTTTTTTATGCCGGTTGTGGGGCTTGAACTCTGGGCCTGCGCCCTGTCCCAGCTCTTCAGCTCAAGGCAAGTGCTCTACCACTTGAGCCACAGCGCCACCTCCGGTTTTCTGGTTCTGGTGGTTAACTGGAGATAGAGTGTCACAGACTTTCCTGCCCAGGCTGGCTTTGAACCATGATCAGTCCTCAGATCTCAGCTTCCTGAGTAGCTAGGATTACTGGCATGAGCCACCAACGCCCTGCTGGAACTCCTTTCTTTAAACTATGTGAACTTAACATCTATTCATCATGTCTAGACTTGGACTGGGAGGGCAGTGTCACAAACTGGAGACAGCCTTAGCCATAACGGGAGAGAATACCAATGTTACTAAATTCCAGCTAAATAGGAAGCCTGTGGAAGGTCTTTCACGCAGTGATGGAAAATGACTTAAACTAAAAACACCTTTCCCTCTGAGCTATAAAACTGCCCTTTGCTGCAGGCCTCCTTAGATCATCTCTCTTCCCCTTCCCCCCCCCCCCAAATATACCCTGTGGCTGTTAAGAGATAGCCTGTGAATTGTGGGCCCTACTGTTTGTTGACTAGTCTGCTAAAAGCTGATGCTTCACTCTAAGTCAAGATAAGATTCAATCTGGGCTCTGAGTCCCTTTGGTGTTCCCATCCTGCCCCTCCTCCTAAGACAAACTTCCTTAGACCCTTGCCCTGCCTGACTTCACTGATTCTCTCCCTCTCTCTCCCTCTCCCCTCCCTCCCCCACTCCCTCCACCACCCCACCCCACCCTCGATTTCAGTGGTAAGATTGTCTGGCCATCTTCTCTCCAGTCTGGGTGGAAGACTCTGACTTCCCCCTCATACCCTTCTGACTTAGTTTCCTTACATGCAGAATGCCAGTTACTGTGGAAAACCCTTCCCCAAAGCCTGACTTCTCTCATTCCTGTTTTATCATCCTCAGTTAGTTTACAGAGGAGGGCCATTCTGCTCGCAAGCAGGTATGCTGGCCTTTGAAGCAAACTAGATCTTACTCAGATCCAGGCTGTAGGGTTTGGAAAGAATTGAAGGGTGTTAGCTCTCACAGGAAGTGAGTCAGTGTCACCTGCCACAGGGCCCAAGTGCTGCATGAAAGCACCTGTGGGCTCTCTGTTACACCATCCTATTCCTACACATAGGTGCACAAGGCCCAGTCCCACTCCCTGTGAAAGAGGAGGAGATAGGATATCTAATGTTGAATGTTGTATAGGGGACATGATCTGTCCAAGGTCACACAGCTTGTCACTGTCATGGTCAGACCCTACGTTCCATTTCTGGGCTTTTCTTAGTGTGGTTTTGTGCTCCGCAGGCTGGGACTCAGGACTTTTGCCTAAATAGGAGCAGTGGCCTGGGCCACCACCGTCCTGAGTATTCCGAGGGCTACAGGTGGCTGCGTGGGAAAGCAGGTGCTTTGCAGGAGAAAGGCCCCAGGTTCCAACTCCAGCACCAGAAAAACAATCTCAGGGGTGCTGAGTCGGTGTGCAGACTGCTTCCTGGAAGACTCCCACAGCTTTCCCAACTGCCACAGGCAGGAGACCAGAGGGCAGGGGAGGGGAGGCTACCTTAGGGACCTGTGTATTGACATTTCTATTCATTAGGCAGGGAGGGTCTGCCTCTCCTCCCTGAGGGGCCTCCAGTGCCTCCAGCTCTTCCCTCCTCACTGCCAGCCCCTCCCACTTTTACTTCCCAGAATCCCCAGAGAGGGCCTAGCCCCTTTCCCTGTCTCAGACCTAAAAGTTTTCCCTTCACAGCCCCTCCTCACCCTCAGGATACCCAACTACAAATGGCTTCCCCTTCCAGGCTCTCCATTCCAGCCCATCAAAGTGCCCTCAGAATTCTCCCTCAGTCAGACTTCTTTGTCTTAGACTGGAGCTCCCCAGGGCTGCTGTCTCCCTCCTCAGACTGGGGGCATCCTGAGTGCCCACTCATCCTGTGGGAATCCTCCCAATCGGCTGTGGGCCACACACTAGTTTGGAAGCTGTGTCCAATCCTTTTGGGTATCATCCCAGAGGGCTGTGTCCCAGGCAGCCAATGGGACCCCAGTGTACCCCTGGTGAATGATTAACTCTAGGCTCATTGACCTCCGGCCACTGTGTCCCCTCAGCCTCTCCCTGAGGGATGGTCAGTTCTGCTTTTGGAGAAGACAGTGATGCCCGAGAAGACAGTGATGCCAGAACCCACCATGCCAGGCTGACCCCCATAGGACCCTAGCTGCTCTGTGGTCTCAGCCTGATTTTTCTTTTCTTTACCAGTACTGGGGCTTGAAGTCAAGGCCTCATGTTCTTACTTGGCTTTTTTGCTCAAGGATGCCAATCTACCACCTGAGCCATATCTTCATTACCAGCTTTTTGCTGGTTAATTGGAGATAAGTGTATCTCTGGGATTTGTCTGCCTGGGCTGGGTTTGAACTGTAATTCTCAGATCTCAGCCTTCTGAGTAGCTAGGATTATAGGTGTGAGCCACCAGCACTCAACAGAACATAACTTTTTGGCCTTACCCCTTAACTGCACCCCCTCATCCATGGAACTTTTCCACATTACTTTGCTCCATTTGCTTTCAGAACCCTTGGAAATGGTGAACAATTTTGCCCATCTAGTTCCTTCTTTCTCATGTGTGTGAGCCCGCACTGGTGTTCTAAACTCAGGGTCTCTGGCTCTTGCTAACTTTGCTTAGCTCAAGGCTGGTGTTCTACCACTTGTAGCCATATCCCCATTTCTGGAGTGTGTGTGTGTATGTGTGTGTATGTGTGTGTGTGTGTGTGTGTGTCCTGGTCTTGAATTTAGGACCTATCCCCATTTCTGGAGTGTGTGTGTGTGTGTGTCCTGGTCTTGAATTTAGGACCTGGGTGCTGTCCCTGAACTATTTTTGCTCAAGGCTAATGCTGGACCACTTGAGCCACAGCTCCATTTTGGTGACTAATTAGAGTCTGATAGACTTTCCTGCCCTGGCTGGCTTCAATCAGATCTCAGCTTCCTGAGTAGCTAGGATTCCAGGCATGAGCCACTGGCACTCAGCTCACTTCTGTCTTTTTATTGGTTAGTTGGAGATAAGAGTCTCTCAGACTTTTCTGCCTGGCCTGGCTTTTTGATCCATGATCCTCAGGTCTCAGTGTCCTTGAAAGATTTAGCAAAAGGAGACCACCACATGATTCAGGCAGAAAAGAGTTTATTGGGGGGAGAGGGGAGGAAGCATATTGCCAGCCTGCACAAGATGGAGGTGCAAGAGCTGTAGGGGAAGGGAAAGTGGGCAAGGGGGCATGTAGCAAAGGGAAGGGAAAGGTGGCAAGAGGCAAAGGGAAAAGGGGCGGGACTTATGATAGAGACTGAAAAATAGGAAGGGGGGGAGGTGTGGCTGGATGGCAAAGATATTAGAGCCTAGGGAACCTCTACTACTCCCAAGTGCACCAGTTACCTGGGATACAAATGCTGGGCAGTGACTTCTAGGGAAGGGAAGGGGCCATTTTTCCTGGGTGGACCTAACATTTCTTTTTTTGGGGGGGGGGCGGTCATGGGGCCTGAACTCTGGGCCTGGGCACAGTCCCTCAGCTCTTCAGCTCAAGGCTAGCACTCTACCACTTGAGCCACAGCGCCACTTCCGGCTTTTTTTCTTTTTGCTTATGTGGTGCTGAGGAATCAAACCCAGGGCCTCAGGCATGCAAGGCAAGCGCTCTACCACTGAGCCACCTTCCCAGCCCCTGTACCTAACATTTCTTTTATTATTATTATTTTTTTTATTGTCTGGTCGTGGGGCCTGAACTCTGGGCCTGGGCACTGTCCCTCAGCTCTTCAGCTCAAGGCTAGCGCTCTACCACTTGAGCCACAGCGCCACTTCTGGCTTTTTTCTTTTTGCTTCTGTGGTGCTGAGGAATCGAACCCAGGGCCTCAGGCATGCAAGGCAAGCGCTCTACCACTGAGCCACCTTCCCAGCCCCTAGACCTAACATTTCTAAGTAGCTAGGATTACACAAGCATGAGCCACCCAGGTCTTCCCTCCTTTCTTAGCTGCCATCCCTCAGCCCCACCATTCTCCTGGGTCAAAACCTGTCTTAACAAGACCACTGATGACCGTGGCATTGCTGAACCAAAAGTCAATGATCAGCCCTGCCTGGCTCTGAGGCAGCCTACCTCCCTTGTTCTCCATGAGTCCCTGGCTTTCTCCTTCCCTGCTGGTTAATGCTTCTCACCTGGCTCCTTTTATTCCCCCTCTCTTCTTTACCTTGCCCTATTGGGTGAGTTAGGCATTGAAGCTGGATGGTGAGTAGTGAAGGACTTACTTCTCCCCTTTCGGCCCAATCTTTTTATGTATCTAAAGATGGAATATGAAGGATTGCCCCCCAACCCTTTTATCCCAGGTGCATGCAGATGTGAGGCAAAACCCTGGGCTTGCATGGATGTGCTTGATGAGAGCAGAGCAATCCAATCTAGGTCTGGCTGTAAACATTCAATTATGGGCCTAACCTGTAGGGAACTGTGAGGCTGAGCTGAGACCAGGAAAGGGTTAACAGATTGAACAGATGGTTGAGAACTAGACTCTGAGAAGGTTAAACTGTCAAGGCAAGACACATATAGAGCTGTTTGAACGTTAAAAAGCTGGAGACCTTGGATAAAGGAGTCAATTATCATTAACCCTATTCTCTGCCTGCACCTGCA